CCCGATGAGTGCGAGCACCTCGAAACAACTCTATTTTATGGGAATGATGATGTATCTCTCAAAGAAGTTTGTTCTACCTTATAGAGCTTTGAACAAAGAAAGAGAGAAAAGCAAAAGAATAGAGAAGGAGAAGCACTGGTTGTGAGAGGTCGTTCTCAAAATCATATGAGAACGAAGAAAGGAAGATCCAAGTCAAGATCCAGACCTAGCAAAGATGAATGCGCCTTTTGCCGAGAAAAGGACACTGGAAGAAAGACTGTCCAAAGTTGAAAAACAAGGTCAAACCTAACAATGGGAAGGCTATCATAGATTCAAATGTAGCTAATTGTGACGACTCTGATTTCTCACTAGTTACAACTAAGCCATTCAAACCATCTGACATATGGCTGATGGATTCAGCTTGTAGCTATCATATGTGTCCCAACAGGGACTGGTTTATTAATTTTCAAGAAGGAGAATGTGGATTTATTCACACCGCGAATAACAATCCTCTTACCGCATATGGTATTGGTTCAATCCGATTAAGGAACCATAATGGATTGATCAGAACATTAACAGATATTCGATACGTACCGGAATTGAAGAAAAATCTCATTTCTGTAGGAGCCCTAGAGTCAAAGGGGCTCAAAGTCATTGCAGAAAATGGGATAATGAGAATATGCTCTGGTGCACTAGTAGTAATAAAGGGAATTCGGCGAAATAATAACATGTACCACTATCAAGGTAGTACAGTTATTGGGACAGTAATAGTGACATCCAGTGATGACAAAGAGGCAAAAGCAACCAAACTATGGCACATGCGCTTGGGACATGCTGGAGGAAAATCCTTGAAGATTTTATCAGATCAAGGATTGTTAAAAGGAGTAAAGACTTGCAATTTGGAGTTTTGTGAGCACTGTGTCAAGGGAAAACAGACAAGGGTTAAATTTGGAATAACTATCCATAATACTAAAAGTATTTTGGATTATGTTCACTCTGATGTTTGGGGTGCTTCCAAAACACCTTCATTAGGTGGGAAACACTATTTTGTAACCTTTATTGATGACTTTTCCCGGAGAGTGTGGGTGTATACTATGAAAACCAAAGATGAGGTGCTGGGAATTTTTCTCAAATGGAAGGCGATGATAGAGACTCAAACAGGCAGAAAGATAAAGTGTCTTCGCACAAATAACAGTGGAGAATACAAAAATGATCTTTACAATAAGATTTGTGAAGATGATGGCATTTTGAGACATTTCACCGTCAAAAATACACCACAACAGAATGGAGTGGCAGAACGCATGACCCGAACTTTGCTGGAGAAGGTTCGGTGTATGTTGTCCAATGCTGGCTTGGGCAAGAATTTTAGGCTGAGGCAATAACATATGCATTCCACCTCATTAATCGTCTACCATCTGCCGCTATTGGAGGCAAGACACCATTTGAAAAATGGTATGGAAAACCTGCTGAAGATGGTTCAATTGCATACTATCATGTGAAAGAGTCAAAATTGGATCTGAAGGCAAAGAAAGCTATATTTATGGGGATTACTTCTGGAGTCAAAGGATACCAATTATGGTGTCCAAAGACAAGAAAAATTATATTCAGCAGAGATGTTACCTTTGATGAATCTGTCATAACAGATAAGGTGACAGTTGAAGATGTCAAACAAACTGATGGTGCTTCAAAACAGGTGGAGTTTGAGGAAAAATTAATTTTTCCAACACAGGGAGAAAATGAGGAAACAATAGAAGATTTTTCCCTGGAAGAAGAGTCAGTGGAAGGTGAGATTCCAAATCAGGAACCCCAACAACAACTTAAATCAATAACAACCAGCAAGACAAAAAGAACAATAAAGAAACTTGTTCGTCTCATAGAGATGGTGGCTTATGCAGCCTCAATTATAGCTGATGGTGTTCCTACCACTTATAAAGATGTAGTCCAAAGTTCAGAAGAAGATAAGTGAAGGATTGCCATGAATGAAGAAATGCAGTCCCTTCATCAGAATTGCACATGGAAATTGGCCAATCTCCCGAAGGGCAAGAAAGCAATTCGGTGCAAATGGGTATTTGCAAAGAAAGAAGAATTTTCTAACCAAGAAGATATTCGCTACAAAGTAAGATTGGTGGCCAAAGGGTACACTCAAAAGGAGGAAATTGATTAAAATGAGGTATTTTCTCCAGTCGTGAAACAATCCCCTATTAGAGTTTTGTTGGCTTTGGTAGCACAGTTGAATTTGGAACTAGTTCAGTTAGATGTAAAAACTGTATTTTTACATGGAGATTTAGAAGAGGAAATCTATATGACTCAGCCAGAAGGATTCAAAGTTGCTGAAAAGGAAAATATGATGTGCAAACTTGAAAAATCGTTGTACGGATTGAAACAATCTTCTAGTTAATGGTACAAATAATTTGACAAGTTTATGTTGCGGTAGAAGTACAGAAGAAGCAAATACGATCATTGTGCGTATTTGCGCAAGCTTGAAGACAGATCTTTCATATATCTTCTCCTATATGTTGATGATATGTTGATATCTTCCAAAAGTCAAGAGAAAATTGAGAAGTTGAAGATTCAACTAAGAAAGGAGTTTGAGATAAAGGATTTAGGCGAGGCGAAGAAAATTCTTGACATGGAGATAAAAAGAGATAGACATTCAAAGAAACTTTATCTATCTCAGAAAGAATACTTGAAGAGAGTAATAGATCGATTTGGCATGAATGAGAACACGAAGTCGGTTAGCACTCCTCTTGCTCCTCACTTTAAGCTTAGTGTTGCTATGTCGCCGAAGAATGAAGCTGAACGAGAGTATATGTCAAGAGTTCCATATGCGAATGCCGATGGTAGCTTGATGTATGCAATAGTTTGCACAAGACCTGATATTTCACATGCTATCAGAGTTGTAAGCAGGTATATGCATGATCCAGGAAAGGAGCATTGGCAAGCTGTGAAATAGATTCTACGATATATTTGTAATACTGTAGATGTTGGATTGATTTTTGAGCAGGAAGATAGTCAGTATCTGGTTGGATATTGTGACTCGGATTATGCGGGTGATTTGGACAAGCGTAGATCAACTACTGGTTATGTTTCACTTTTGCAAATGCACCAGTTAGTTGGAAGTCTACTTTGCAGTCAACGGTTGCTTTGTCTACTACTGAGGCAGAGTACATGGCAATTACGGAGGCTGTAAAGGAGGCAATTTGGCTTCAAGGGTTTCTTAGAGATCTTGGTATTGGTCAAGAAAATATCACACTATTTTGTGATAGTCAGAGTGCTATCCAATTAGCAAAGAACCAAGTTTATCATGCAAGGACGAAGCACATTGGTGTTCGATATCACTTTGTACGAGATATTATAGAAGAAGGTAGAGTCATGGTGCAGAAAATTTGGACTACAGACAACCCTGCCGATATGCTAACAAAAGTAGTGAATGCGATCAAGTTTCAACATTGTTTGAACTAGAGCAACATTGTTGAACTTTGAAGATTGAAGTTGAAGACACAATCAAAATTTATCAGTAAGAGAAAATTGAAAAAGGGGAATCTTGCCAAGGTGGAGATTTGTTGAATTTGACAAGTTTAATGTGAACTAGTGTGAATATTTGAAACCTCCTTTTAGGAAGAAATTAGTAGATGCATTTACATTGCATGTTCACACTTAATATGATGTCATGCATGACATTATTAAGGCCATTTCCCTTCTATAAATAGCAAGGGTTTTGTTCATTTGAAAACATCTCTCACTTGCCTTCTTATCTCCTAAGGCATTTGAATCTTCTTTCTCTCTTGTAGTATTTTACTTGTATTTTTGGAGTGAAATAAATTTGAGTCGATTGTGTCCGAGGACTAGGCAAAAATTAAATTTTGCCGAACCTCGTTAATTTCTGGTGTTCTTTTTATTGTTGTCTCATTTACTATTTATTAGCTACCTTTAGATATAGTAGTTGTGATTTAATCACTCTCTATATATTCGTCTTCTGCAACAATACCTACTAACCTTCTATTCTAATTCTCGATCTCTACACCCTCCTATCGAGAGTCATGTCCTCGGTAAGCTGAAGCAACACCATGCCATGCTTAATTACCTCTCCCTAATGCTTATTTGGCCTACCTCTGCCTCTCCTCAAACCTACCAAGGCCGACCTCTCACACCTTTTTACTGTGAGATCTGTGTCTCTCCTCTTCACATGCGTGAATCATCTTAAGCCTCGCTTTCCATATCTTGTCCTCCACGAAGGCCACTCCCATTTTGTCTCGAATAACTTCATTCATAATCTTATCTATCGTGGTAAACCCACACATCCATCTCAATATCCTCATTTATACTACTCTTATCTTTGGACATGGGAACAATGACCATTGACAATAAGCAAAAAATGTCAATTAAATTAGCTTAAGGAGTTAAAAAATTCAATTGACTTAGGACCCGTTTGGACATAGATTTCCAAATATTTTTTGAAAAAGCTGATTTGAGTGAAATTTGATTTGAAATTGAAAATGTGTTTGGACATAAGTTTTTGAACAAGTTTTGATATGTTAAAAAGTCTATTTTTCCCCTTTTCAGATAAAAAGTCCCAAATGGTCATAAATTTGCACAAAAAGAGGTCTTAAGCTATATTTGGGATTTGAATTTTTTGTTTTCAAAATCTCCAAAAAAACTAGATTAATTCTATAAACAAACACATATTTAAAAAAAAATTGAAAAAGAAATTACAAAACTTATGGCCAAACACCTGCTTAGTTTGTAGTTATCTTCCTAATTTAGTAATTTAAATAATTAATTGCTTAAATTTAGATAATTATTTCCTTCTCAAGACACTCGGCTGTAGTTGCGGGATATGCTATTAGTGTCTCTATGTTCCAAAAAATAAAATACAATCATTCAGATAATATAAAATCATTTGTGGTTGCCTTGTATAGATTCCATTAATAAATAACAATAATTGCTTTAACAATTCTTTTCTTTAAAAATATAATATTGGGTTATCCTCTTGCATTTTGGCTTTTCATAATCATCAGCACTATAAATAAGGAACAAGAAAAGGCAGAGAAGTACCATTGAATTATTACAAAAATGTGCTCCAATACCATGGATCTTGGAATTTTTTATAATAGCGTCAGCTTTCACTTTTGTTATTCTACTTGTAATTTCAGTTACTTCCATTCATCTGTGTCAGCTCCTTTTGTCTTTTGAGAGTTCAGTTTCACTACCCAAAATGGACAAATACAACTCATTCTTTTTTCTGATTTAATTCTTTTGAAGAAATTGATCAACTCTTTCAGCTCTCCTCTTAGTTTTCTTGGCTATTTCTATAATTCTATGATGGTCAGCAGTGCTATGAAAGTATCATCTTCAGTAGCTATGGTTTCTTTAGATATTTGCAGCAGGTAACTTTTTTACCTTTAAATTCAAGAATTGTATTTGGGTTTTGTTGATTTTTTTGTTTTTGTTTTGATTTATCAAGAAAAATGCTACTCCCTCCGTCCCAATTTGTGTGTGATAATGTAACTGAACACAAAATTAAAAAAAAAAATTGAAACTTACGGAGTAAAATATTTCATAGATATTTTGTGGGTATTTATTAAGCATAAAATGGGATGAAGTTATATTATTTCTGAATATAGAAATGTATTATTCTTTTCGGACAGACTAATATACGGAAGAAAAAAGAAAAAAAAAGGCAGCTATGCCCGGGTTCCGGGGTCCGGGGACGGGCCGGACCACAATAATCTATTATTTCCCTGTATTTCTGCAAGAGGTTATTTTCATGGCTCGAATCCGTAGTATCACATAAATTGGAAGGAGTAGTTTTCATTTACTTCTTTTCCTTATTGCTTTCATTAGAAGGGTGTTTGATGGGCTGTAATTTTTATTCTACTTTGTGTTATGTAAAGTTATTTGTGGATTGGAGAAGCATTTGTGCTAGTACTAGGCAAAAATTCCCAAACCCTTTATTCTCTACGATCATCAGGTGTAGTTTTGATGGTCGTGTTGGATGTTGGATTGGGAATGAGAAAGGAAAATGGAACAAATTGGCTGCTCCAAGAAGTACAAAGGCAGCTAACATAAAGAAGTTGAGGATTTCACCCTTGGCTTCCTCTGCTCTAGCCGAAACCCAAGGGTCGTCTAAAGCCAAATTCTATAAGGAGGTTGGGACTACATTAGTTTCTTGTGATATGCTACTTTATAAATCTATTCTCGTTGTTAAAATGGTAATTTGATACATTGAGTACATCTGAATCCAGTCATTTTCTTTTGTTTAATCTGTTCATGCCATTAAAATATACTCTTCCTCCGTTTCATTTTATGTGGCGGTGTTTGACTAGGCATGGAGTTTAATAAAGAAATGAAAACTTTTATAACTTGTACATTTAACATGCCATGACATTTATGTGGCTAAAAGATCATCTCATTTGATGTTAAATTGTTTCCGAATGTAGAAAAGTATTGTTCTTTTTGGAAGAGACAAAAAAAAGAAACAATGCTGCATAAAATGGAACAGATGGAGTTTATGAATGAGCCTATCGTTGCTGTCTATTGGAGTATCGTGCTATAAATTTAGAGAATTGACTGAAGTTTCATGATTTGGCAGGTACTAAAAGATGCCAGGGAAAAGTTTACACAGGAGATATCATTTCAGTCTAAGGATAAAGATATTTCCCTTGCAAAGGTAGTTATTCGTCTTGTCAAGCTCTTTTTGTTCAGTGCAGTTGATTCATTGATTTTGATAGTAAACAATTTCTTGGTTTCAAGAAACAGAAATGAATAGAGTTCACTTTGCAGTTCTTTATTTGCAATATTCTGCTTATAAATAGTTTCCAACTTTTGTGTGTGGATGGCGAGAAGCCGAGAATCATCATAAGAGATAAATCATCTTTTTGCAAGCAAATTGCTTCTTTCATTTGATTTTTACTTGTATTATCTGCATTCTTAATTTGTCTGTCTGTCGTTTGTTTTTATCCTGGGTAGGCTTTGCTCTATGTTGCTTCTGAAGACGAGGCATTTATGGCTTTCAACCGAGAAATCGACGCTTATTCACTCCAAAATGAAAGGAGATCTGCTTCGTTGCCGTCTGAGACACCGGACTGGAAATGCGTGGAAGCCATGTCTCTGGCTGGAAAGAATATGAGCGAGTGGATGGCCGAGTTGGATTCAATTGCAAGGGAAGTTGAGGCAGAGCTAGTTCCGAGAGATATAGGATGCGATTTGGCTGAAGTTTTGGATGCAGTGAACGTAGTTCTTTTTAAGTCGAGGGGTTTCAAAAGGTCTTCTGTGATAGTGGATTCGAAATGTTCATACCTGCATTCAGTATTAAGCTCTGGATATTGCAGTGGTATATCTTAAATTTTCCTTGACAATACCATCATTAATCTGTATAATTCGTAAGCCTGAAAGTTCACAGTTCTTCTCGAGTTCTTGATGTTTATTATTGACGCAATCTGACATGCTTCTTTACTTCTGTACAGCAATTTTACTTAGTGTCATTTACATCGAAGTTTGTCGAAGACTTAATCTGACCATTGTGGGATCTCGAATTGGGGAAGATTTCTTGATATGGCCTCAAACTGGAAACCCTGAGGTATGTTGATCTGAACAAATGGATGTTGTCGATCTTTTCTTTGGCATGTCCGTTCACTACTTTTTATACATTGATGATCTTGAGTCTCATTGAGTTGATATATCTACATTTTGAAACTGCTATAGGAGCTATTCAAGGTTACTTCTGGTCACAGCTTGTTTGGTATTGTCAACGGAAAGTGTGTCAATGACCCTAGATCAAAGGCCTCAGACATCGATAGCGATTCACTGTCAGGGCTTGAGATTGCAACAAACCGAGATATTATCGGAATTGCTTTGGCAAATCTCGTGGTGAGTTTTATTCTTCTAAAAGGTAGAGTCTGTTGGACCTTTTAATATTCATAAATCTCATGGTATTATTTATGAGTATTAATGTCGTCATTGATAACTTTGGCAAAATAATTGATCGATAATCAAATTTATTTTGCAGAGGCTTCACTGGAAACGCGCGTCAAGAGCAAATCATGGTTTGATGCTGACTTCTCCACTTAGGTCTGTGGATAACTCTGATGAGAAGTTTAAGAAGGCGGATGCTTCAAGTGTACCTTTGCTGCGGCCTCAAGATTTGAGGTAAAAATCATATGCTCTATTTTGTCTTTGTTACTAGCACCGGTTGTTTTTCCTGATTAAGCAGGCCGACTTTGTATTCCTACAGGTTCATGATGCTAATTTGCAACCTTGGCATGAGAAAGGGAGAATTGTGAATTTTTGGCGACATTATTATATCAACTGTCTAATTCTAACTTACTACAGAAAACAACCACTCGATCTACTATTGCTGCAATATATGCATGGTTTTAATTCCTTCATCTGGTTTTTTAGTTCGTCAAGCATAGTAGGTTCCCGGAATCTATAGCTCCATTTTGGTTTGAGAAAGTCCGTTCCATATCTAAACTACAGTGGTCTAGCTGATAATGTCTAACTTGCACTACTCCTTAGATATGTTATATTAAGAATGAAATTTTCATGTCCATTTACACATCGTGGTATTGTCCGAGTTGGTTATCAATCGAACAGGGGATTCTTGGCATATGAGTATCATCATTTCTGGTGCATTAAGTTTTATCCGAAGTGCAGAAACATGCAAGAGAACAGCACTAATAGATTCATTTATTATTGAACTGTTCTCAGGTGGCTATATTATATAGCTTATATAAGACCCTTTAATTATCTTTTATACAATCTCAGGTGTTCTTTTTACTAGTTTGGTGCAGCTAAGAAACGTCTTTTTCCTAATTATCATGACGAATGTTCTGACCTTAGCTCTAGGGGATTAGTTTGTGTTGTAGTATCTATCTCACGTGTAATGACATTATATCTGGGATGGTACCAACTTTCTAGGCTGGCTATTATGGCTTCACAGAGATTGCTGATTCTGCAGCCGCACAATTGGGCTACAAGGAGAGACCACGGCATGATGTTGTACTATAGCAGGTAAATAACGACACTCAATTTAATATGTTTCTATTCTTTTCCTCATTTTCTGATACTTTTCATAGTACTAATAACAAGTGACATATGAACAAATATCAGGGAATACGAGGAGGCGGTCCAAGAGCTTAGCATTTGCATGGCCTTTGCCCCAGAAGAAGAGGCTGAAGTTCTAGAGGCATTTGTTGAGAAATTACACTTATTGCGAGTTGAATCGTCGTGGAAGTCTCTGGGACGTAAAGGTTGGTTAACAGTTACTTGACTCTTGTTTGTACAAAAGCTGAGCTCTTTCTCACTTGTTGAGCCAATTACAGAACTTAGTATAAGAATACAAACTATAGAATTATATAGCTGTAACCTCTTTTTTGACTTCTGTAAATATTTCATTGAGCTAAAGCTTCATTTACTGAGCTTCAATTACGAGATGAATGATATAACTTGAACATCTCCTGGCAATGATATACTAATTCTCATAGTAAGATACTGTTGGATGGGAAGTTTCCTTCTATAGCCCACTGGTGCTCATTTGTTTGTCATGCCAAAGGGATGCTATAATTTTTTGGGCTTTTAGCACATTTGACAGGTCGAAGGCGAGCCTTGGAGCAACGGTAAAGTTGTTTCGGAATGACCTATAAAACATAATAGGTCACGGTGCGAGTCATGGAAGCAGCCACTAATGCTTGCATTAGGATAGATTGTCTACATTACACCCTTTGGGTGGTCCTTACTCGGACCCTGTGTGAATGCGGGATGCTTTGTGTACTGAGCTGCCCTTTTTAACCGATCGGCCACAAATAATTATTGTTGTAACCCAAATATATAAAACATATACACTAATTAATAATATATATTATATACATTAATATACAAAAAATATACATGTGCCGACTATTATTTTGGGAGGCGGTTATACGGCGTAAACATTACTAATTTTTTTAGCTATTTAACTTTTTAATGCTGCTTGTATGGGCTTATGGCTGATTGGAGGATATAGAAAGAAAATGTAGACCATAATTTGCTGCTTAAGTAAGCTGGTAAGCTAATTGTAGCTTTGCTTTTCTAAGCTATAAGTTGATAAGCTTCTTAATTAAGCTCTACCAAGAATCAAAGATTAGAATAATCTAATACTAAGAAATTAGCAGATAAATTAAATATGATATAGATACCATTATTGTCATAATTCTCTCATAAGTTATTATATCAGTCATTCTCCTTAAGAACTGTTATTCTCTAGAAAGAAGGCACAGGTATTTCAGATTGTGCTTGAACTAATGGGTTAGGTACTGGGTAGATAACTTTATAGATGTGGACATGAAAGCNCCCCTTGACCCTTACAACGTCTGCACAACAACATATCAATGTTATTCCACAAGTAGGGTCTCGGGAGGGTAATGATACTAAATTCTTGTCCCTATCTTGTGAATATAGAGATAATATTTATGATAAACTCTCGGTTCAAGAAAAGCATTCCCAACACGTCTGGCCCCGAAAATAATTAGGCGCGGGGTTAATGAACTAATTGCAAACTGTGGAGATCAAGGTTCAAATTTTGACAAGAGACAAAAAATTTGGCGATTCTTTTCATCTGCCTAAACTTTACTGATGGAAGGAAACATGTGAAACAGTCGAAGTGTGAAAATGAACACCATCGTTATTAAAAAGAAGAAAAAGACAAACAATTGGTTGCTTTCTTCTGAGGGTTGAGAGACAATTTCTTGCAATGGTGGAATGTGATATAATTTGACAATGGAAGGGAAGGGATTAAAATTTGTAAAGTTCATTATTTTCTGTCAATTTTTGAAATGATGTGAAAATCAAGTGCAAGGAGTGTCATAACTGTTAATTAAACCACCAATGTATCAATCAGAATTCAATTTCAAATTAGTTGGGAATTCCTATATTTATATTCTCTATATATTTTGCTATGAGAATCCATCATATTTAGGCAATTATCCTGGTTAATCGTCAGTATATCGCAACCTTCCTCTTTTATCCGGTTGTGGAGCTGATTATGCTTCTCAACTACGAAAAAGTTCAAAGAGGAGTCCGAAATCTCCCAAAGAACGGAATCAAAAGTCTTTACGCATTCACTTACTATTCTCTCTTAAATAAATAAAGCTCGTCTTGAATATGCACTAAGTGTAGATGTAGCATAACAAATTAGGCACTTGACCTGTAATCTAGTGTTATGTTTCGTCTCTATGCATAAAATTAGGTTTTGATTGTTGGACTAGTTAGTTCAGTGACCTAACCTATATATCCAGAGATATAAAGTTAGTGTGGACCAACTTAATTTAGTTGTTAAAATTTCTGCCGTCAAATACCGAATAACTATATCTATCAACACTTAATAAATAGGAAGAATTTTAACCTCCCATAATTTGAACATGACAGCTCATTACCGAGTTCATTGAACCTTGGGTGCACCATTTGCTCCAACTCTAAGAAGCGAGAGTAGGCAACCACATTCATACCTAACATTAAATATCTCCAAATTTTCGACTTTCCTCATCACAAGTCACAACTAACAATGTAAAACAAATAATACTTTCATATGGTTTAGAAACTTAGTTTAGGTAAATATATATACATACACATTAACTATGAGTAGGGGTGGCAAACAGGCGGGTCGGGTCCGATGTGGGACGGTCGAAAGCGGGTAACAAAAAAACGGATAAATTATCCGACCAAACTCATATTTAATACGGATAAAAAACGGGTTAACCGGCGGATAATATGGGTAACCATATTATCCATGACTTTTTGAATATAATCACTTTTGAGAGAATTTTTTAGTCTCCCAAACTTGAGGAACCCCCAGTTTGAGGTTTTACAAATGTAAAAGTTAAACCCATTAGTTATCCATTGGTTATCCATTTTCTAAATGGATAATATGGTTCTTATTCGTATTTGACCCATTTTTTAAAAAGTTCATTATCCAAACTATTTTTGTAGCGGATAATATGGGTGGTTAAATATTTTTTTTTTAACCATTTTGCCACCACTAGGGGTGTACATGCACCGGGTTGGTTCGGTTTAAATCAACTATATCGGTTTGGATTGGTTTGGTTTTGTCGGATTTTTCGGATTTTTTGTTACTTAAATATTATTTTAATCTTACTTTGTTAAATTTTTTATAAGTAAATATATGTTTAGTAAAAATATAAAAAATTGACAAACATATTATCTATTAAAATATTTTTATCGGAGAATTTTCTTAGTAACACATAATATTTATTTTTTTAGTCGCCTGATAATAATGTTTTGTTGTGTACACTTTCAAGGTTAACCAAATTTAGTAATTAAACATAAAAATCAATATGATACCTAAATAATAATAATCACTTCACATTCGAAAAAGATATAAGAATTTAATAGATCTTAACATATGATATGAATATGGAATAACAAAGAGATTGACGCATTTCAGTAACACTTGACGAGAAAGTGATCATACAACCCATTATTTAAGGTTAATAAATATGGAGAACTTCATATACTATTAAATATTATATCCCGCAAGAAAATCCCAAATATTTCTAGACAAATTTTAAAGAAACTTCTATATAAAATCTTAAAAGTATATAAAAAATTATATATTTATATGTCGGTTTGGTTCGGATTTTTTTACTCAATACCAAACCAAATCAAACCAAACCTAGTCGAATTTTTTAATCGGTTTGATTTGACTTTTCGGTATCGTGTAATTTTTCGATTCGGTTTGTACACCCCTAGCCACCACTAACTATGAGTTATTAACAAGAAAAAAATTGATAGGTCCTTATTTAATCAAGCTCTGTTAGGAAATCTTTAGGTACCAAGTTAAATGGTCATAGGATAATTGAACTAAGAGGAAGCCACCTTCAATTTGATTAGTGTATGGGGTAAAATTGATTCATAATAAATGGTCGAATGATAGCATGACACGTGGAACTAAAGACAAACAAAAGGCAAGTTAAGTAATAATCAGTATCGGACACGGCAACTGTGATTGAAGTCGGGGAAATTTCGAAGGAAGCATAGTCAATGAGAGCAGATTGAGTATTTGCCATCGGATAGCATTCAACGAGGAAATATTCTCTCGTATTAAATGAGCGACCGTTGCAGGGAATATTGTATTCATAGCCTGCCGTTAAGTATTCATCAATGCCCCTTTATTATCATTTAAGTAGGGTTTGATCCTAGGATCTTGTTTCCCTATGCATAACTATAAATAGAAGGCTCAGCAGCCATTGTAACACAAGAAATTCTTGGCAAAACATACGCTATATTTCACTTTCGCTCTCAATCAAACAACTTTATTTGATCTTGTACATTGCTTTCATTTCTATCCTCGGGGACATTGTGCTAGGAGCCAGGCTTGTCATCTTCTTCAATTTCAATTGCTAAGTCTTATTTTTAATCTTATTCCTTTATCATTTTTATAGATCAAATCAGTTCGCTTGTCTATAAACCACATAATAAATTTAACTGTTTTGTTTTACGGGTAAACAATTAGTCCTTTTGATTCTTTCTTTTCAATACTTTTTATTTCTACTCGATCAAATATAGCTTAATCAAAAATTCAAAATAAAATAGGAAACTGAAATTAGTAAAGGGTGAAAATTTGCTCGTGACGAGTGTTTATACCAATTTATACTAATTTACTATGGTTAATTAATTTTATTAAGTGAAAATAGGTATTACAATTAATCATAATTATGTGATGACCCAAAAGGTCATCTTATATTTTAGAACTCGAATCTACGCTCTTAAGCCGTAAAAATCTTATTTTTACCCTTCTCGATTTGCGTGCGCAGTCCGGGCGAGTTTTCAGAAAGCTTTTATGTTGAAAATTGATGAAAATAAGAATTTATGCCTTAAAAGTTGATTTTAGTTGATCTCGAGCAATATTTTTAGTAAATGGGCCCGGATCCATATTTTGACGGTCCCGGTAGGTCCGTATCGAATTATGGGACTTGGGCGTATGCCCAAAATTGAATTCGGAGGTCCCTAGCTTGAGTTATGAATTTTTGATGAAAATTAAAAGTCTGAAAATTATTTGTTTTTTAGAATTGATTGATATTTGGCATTGTTTGTATCGGGTCTGTATTTTGATTTCGAAGCCCGGTACAAGTTCATTATGATATTTAAGACTTGTCTGTGAAATTTGGTGAGAAACAAAGTTTATTTGACGTGATTCGGACGTCCAGTTGAGAAGATATGAATTTTTAAGTATTATTGAAAATTTCATTTGATTTGGTGCTAAATTTGTAGTTCTAGATATTATTTTGGCGACATGATCACGCGAACAAGTTCGTATGATGTTTTTAGACTTGTGTGCATGTTTGGTTTGGAGCCCTGAGGGCTCGGGTGAGTTTCGGATAGGTCAGGGGATGTTTTGAACTTAGAAAATTTTGCTAGTATAACTGAACCTGTTGCAGGCCTCTGATCTCGCAATTGCGAGATCAGGCATCGCAAATGCGAACATAACAG